GTGGAAGTACTTCTGAGGATTCCGTGGAAGTACTTCCGAGGATTCCATGGAAGTACTTCCAAGGATTCCGTGGAAATACTTCCGAAGATTCTGTGGAAGTACTTCTGAGGATTCCATGGCACCCCTGGCCGGGTTTGGTGGTGCCCCGGGGTGCCATGGCGCACAGTTTGGGAACTGTTTGGTGTAAACTACAGTTCTTGCAAACCCTGGTTGGGAGGGATGTCTCGCTTGACGTACTGTGGCTTCTAGAGTTCCTGCTGCTTTGAAGACCTCAGCCTCTGTCTTAACTCTTTTCCCCCTCCCCTTTTCTTCCTCCTGACAGATGTCCTCCAAGCCCTCAGAGATGTGCTCCCCGAGGAGCTTGAGGACGCTGGCCTTGATACCAACACTGTGCTCTTCACTCAGCACGAAGTGGCCACCTTGCTGGACACATCAGCGTTCCATTCCCTGGTCAGTCCCAGGTCAACCTTTCTTTTCTTGTCCCTCGTGGAATGCGGATAGCCGAAAGCTGTGCTCATTCTCAGAAGCTAATGCACATTCATATAGAAACGGCATTCACTGGGTTCATAATTCTGTACAGAAATCTCTATTTCAGACCTCCCGAGACTGCTGATGGGGTCCCTCATGCTCTAGGGGTGTGTACATTTCTAAGACTTGTGATGTGTATACATTCCATTGATCAGTTTGACTTACAACAAGCCTTTCCGGAGTTTCCTAGATATAAAGTTCTCAGAAGTGGTTTATTGTTTCCTCCTCTGGGGTTGCTCTCTGACTGTACAGTATATGCTGCTTGCCCAGGGCTGCCCAGGCTGGCTCATCTCCACCTGTTCACTGGCATTAACGTTCTCAGAAGTGGTTTATCATTTCCTCCTCTGGGGATGCTCTCTGACTGTATATGCTGCTTGCCCAGGGCTACCCGGGCTGGCTCATCTCCACCTGTTCACTGGCAACTGACATAAAATGAAATTCAGTTATTTGCTGCAGGAACGTGTGAACAGGTAACAGTGGGCTTTTTTTTTCCAGGCATCTGTTCTTGATCACCCCCAGAGTGCAGGACACGTAATCATGGGCCCAAGCAACGGGAAGCTAGATTTCAGCAAAATATCAAGAAAAACTTCTTAACTGTTAGAGCAGTATGACCATGGGACCCATGATCTTGGAAGGTGTTGAGCACTACAGCGCTATGGAGGCATTCAAGAGAAAATGGGACCATTTGATTTGAATTCCTGCCTTGAGCAGGGCTCGGTGGTCTTATAAGCCCCTTCCAGCTCAATTATTCTATGATTCTGTCATTTGTTTGGAAGTTCACTTCTGCATCGGAGGTTCTCGGATGGAAGCTTTCCATTAGCTCATAAATATATCAAAGCTCCAAAGCGGAATCAAGGATTCCCAGACGAGATTTCAAACATTTGTGATCTTTGACAATGCCGTTTGGATGCATTCCCCAAACGCAGAAGACTTGTTCTCCTTTGTTATACAAACGGCAGAAAGTTGCAACCCCCGTGGGGTCTTGCCGTGTCCAGAAGAGCCCACGATGTGACATGAACAATACATTTAAAAAGCAAGAATCACAGCAGAACTTATCCGGGTTAAGGAGTAGGCGTTTCACTGTGAGATGCTTAAATTTCTCCCTCAAGGCACCAGGGAAGTGCCTCCCATAAATAATTTTGTGCTCCTGTGGTTCAATTCCTGATTCCTATAAGCAATACATGGGTGACACACTTCATAAAATCGACCCCCTAAGCGCTTTCTTAGTTCCACACAACGTAAACGAACGAAATCAAAGGCCGTCCGATTTCTCGGGTGTCCAAGAAGCTGAAAGGAAAGCGGTTGACGTTGCATGTAAATTTCCTCAGGCGAAGTACGAAGGGTTTAACCCAGCAAAGCTTCTTGAGTAGCTCCTCTACCTTCAGGCGATCGCTTCAGACGAGTTTCCTAGAGATGGTCGGGGGGGGGAAGCCATCGTGAAACCGTGCAAGGATAATCCTCAATCATGAAGGAGGTAGTAAACCCTGCCACTTTGAACAACAATGCAAAACAAGCTCTTCCGTATGCTTAGGTTTTTGATAATTTCCCAACTCAGAGGCAACATCTTTAGGAAATACATTTTTCTCTCTGGTGGATTAGAGTACTTTGGATATCAAGAAGATTTTATTTGGCTGTTGAAGTTGTTTTGTTGTTTTCTGGGGGACTCCCTTCCAGAGTCAACACATCTATAAAGCAGTTAGCCTACCAGCAACTCTCACATCGGTAGAGTGGTGCCCTGCTAGACGATTACCTCGCAAAACGATGAATCCGCATGACAATGAGTTTTCGCGATTGCTGTAGCGCTTTGCAAAACAGTGTTTCCTATGGGTGATTTTCACTATACGATGTTTCGGACCATGCTTTGCAAGACGGGGTTTTTTTGGGACCGGTTTTTGCAAGACAGCCATTTTAACAGCTGATTGGCGCTGCGCAAAACGGTTTCTCTATGGGTGATTTTCGCAAAACGACGACAATTTCCCCCCCATCAGAACGCATTAAAAGGATTTCAGTGCATTCCAATGGGGAACCGCACTTTGCAAGACAATGTTTTCGCAAAACAGCGATCTTCACGGAACGAATTAACATCGTCTTGCGGGGCACCACTGCATATCATTCTCATTACAGATGGTCCTTTTTTTAAAAAAAAGAGATGGTTTTGACTCAAAATGGGAAGTGTTTGATGTTCGAAGTACAGCTCTCAGAAGGCTACAGCCAGCATGCCATGACGCATCCCGGTTGCCACATTTCAGAAAACTGTGGCCCACAAATTGAATGTTTCTCATACATGTTCCCGATAAAGCTTGGTCCTACATGAAAGATCTAGATTTTCAAAATTCACTTTCAGCAGGGGGGAAAAATATATATTTTCCCTCCTTTTTGCCCTTCTGGCATCTTTCCAGTCGAAAGATGGGCACAAACTGGTTCGTGCCAGTTCGTTTTTGGCGCAACAGGTGTTTGGCGTTTCCCAGCCCCGCCTCCAGAGGCGTGCCCAATCAGAGGCAGTGCCTAGAAGAGGTGGGGCAGGGAAATGGGGGTGCTGCCAATGAGTGAGCGCCCACTGGAAGAGGCCGGTCTGGAAAGCGCCAGTTCGGCCCAGGGACGAACCATCACAAACCGCCGAACCTGCGGTTCACGCCCATCGCTCGTCCAGTCTCCTGCTGGCTTTCACACTTAATATCTTTACTTGTGCTCAACGGGAGATTAAGGGAGATACCTTATTTCCAGAGATCATGTCCTTGTATTTTAGAAGACGTTGACATGTTTAACACCCTAATCAAAATGTTAGGCCCTCCATTAAAGTAGACCTATCCATTCAATGGGCGTTACCTATCTGCTGACTTAGCAAGTTCCCATTGTTACAATGGGTCTTAATCCTTGGATTTAGGCCTAGGTCATGCTTTTCTTTTCTGTAAGTTTGACTGCCCGCTGTGTAATTACGTTGCCTATCTGCTGACTTACCAAGTTCCCATTGTTACAATGGGTCTCCTCTAACCCTTGGACTTAGGCCTAGGTCATGCTTTTCTTGTCTGTAAGTTTGACTGCCCGCTGTGTAATTAACCCACGGATCATTTTATGTCCAAAAATAGATAAATCTGTACACTATGCTTTTAAACATTTCCTACCGCAGAAACGTCAGCCAAGTTTTTAACCAAGAGGAACGAGGACAGGAGGTGCTGAGATGTTATCCGGTTATACAATAACGTTGACTTCTACTGTGTTGAGACTTATTTTCCATTCCTTGATTGTACTGTTGTATTTCCAAAGGGAAGGGTCTTTGGGTCTCGGTGGGTTTTAGTGATGAGGTCGGGCTCAACGACGTTCCAATTCAAATATTATAGGCCTGTGACTCCGTGTCTTGCAATGACAGTGAAGAACTCGACCAGCTGCAACTGGAAACAGCAGAGCTACGGCAAGAGGTTAGGAGATTAAAGGTAGGCTTCCAACCCTGTCTGGGTGGCTTGGATTCCAGGCGTGGTGCTGACGCCTTTCGGTCAATGTCACAAAAGGGGGAAGCGCAGGAGCCTGGCACATCCTCAGCAGGCCAACGACTGGGTCTCAGATGTTTTCGTAGCCTCTGAGCTAACTCAAGCTTGTGGTTTTCCTTCAAAGTCAGTCCATCTCATATTTGGTCCTCCTCTTTTCCTGCTGCTTTCAACTTTACCCAACATTATTGTCTTTTCCAGAGAATCCTGCCTTCTCAGGATGTGCCCAATGTAGGGCAGCCTCGGTGTCATCATTTTTGCCTCTATAGAGAGCTCAGGCTTGATTTGATTTAGGACTCCACTCGTTCTAGCTTATCTGCAAATCTGTAGCACCATATTTCAAACGAATCTCCCCCTTCCCTGAATCAGCTTTCTTCACTGTCCAGCTTTCACAATCATATGGGATGATCAGAAAAAGACAAGAGGGTGGTTGATTTTGGCCTCGGTCTCCAGTGACCCGTCCTTCCACTCAATGGCCTTTTCTAATGGCAGTCGTAACGCATTGTAGACCATTGGAAAGATAGAGGGGATGATTATGACCCTGGGAGATCTTCAGTGGAAAGCTATAAATGATAAACAGAACTGCTGATGTATTTGCTGATCTCAGTCTCACAAAAAGCAATTTCATGAAAGCACTTTAAAGGGGCTTGTTAGAGCATCGTTGGAACACTTTGCTTTTGGGGGGACCGACAGGGTGGGATGCGTTGCTCATCTGTCTTGTCTTGTCTCATTTTGTTCTGCCTTTAGTCTCTCCTGAAGGAGGTGGAAGGCAGCAGGAAATCCATGGAAGAGGAGCTTCAGAGATTGAACCAGGTCAGTGAAAAAGTGAGGGGATTCGATTACACTCTTTGAGGTAGAATGGCTCACGTAGGAATTCTTGGTTCCACCGTCCCTCTGGTAAAGGGTTAATCTCCCTCAACGTACCCATTGCAGCAGGCTAGTTTAACAACCCTTTGTCTGGGAAGCAAAGTCTGCCTCCTGATAGAGAAGACCTCCTGGCTAGTTCATGGTTCACCCTTGCCCTCCAGCAACTCAATCAGTTGGACTCCCTTTGCTGATTGGGTGGCAAGGATAGGATGGGAGAAAGGGGGAACAAAATTTTAATCTGAGCCTGAAAAATTCCTTCTTTCCTTTCCTTTCTCTCTCTCTTTCTCTCCCCTCCTTCCTTCCTTGCATCCAGCATCAGCTCCTTCCTTCCTTCCTTCCTTCCTTCCTTCCTTCCTTCCTTCTCTCCATCATCAGCTCCTTCCTTCCTTCCGTCCTTCCGTCCTTCCGTCCCTTCCTTCCTTCCTCTCTCTCTCTCTCATTCTCACATTCTCTCTCTTTTCTGACCAACACTTCTTTTGGGGGGAATCATTGTCCAAAGAAAGTGATTTCCAAACTCAATTTCTTCTAGAATCAGGTTGTCAATAAACATCCATGCATGTACTCACACATGTGGAAGGAAGGGCAGACAGATACCGTTTCTCCCTGACTAGCCATCTTTCTTCGGATCCCACCTATACGTCAACAATTCTCTCATTTTCTCTCTTTTCTGACCAACACTTCTTTTTTGGGGAGTCATTGTACAAAGAAAGAGATTTCCAAACTCAATTTCTTCTAGAAACAGGTTGTCAACCCATGCGTGTACTCACACAAGTGGAAGGGAGTGCACACAGATACAGTTTCTAGCCACCTTTCTTCGGATCCCACCTATACGTCAACAAATATCATCTGACAGATACCTACAGTACATAAATAACATGATTATGGATCAGGTACAAGTCTCATCGCTTCCTCCAGGCGCATCCATCCACCATGCTCTACTCCACATGGTTGGTTGGTTGGTTGGCTGGGAGGAGGAGAACACTTGGAACATGATTCTTGGTTTGGGATTTGAGGAGTCCCCCATAACCAATGCTTCTTGCTGAGACTTCTGTCTCCAACAGCTGAAATATCCTGACTTCTTGGAAAACACAAAGTTCCAGTCTTGTTTCCCTTATTGAATTATTTTCCCATTTTGTGCAAGAAGCGTCCAAACGCTGCACACCTTAATGCTCTCCCCAGGGGATCATGCTCTCCGGAGATGGAGGCCTATCTTGAGGTTCCTCAGTGAGCGAAGATCTCCAGCATGTCCCTCCAACCCTCTCTCGCTACGATCTTGGATCTTGTTGGCTCTCCGGTCTAGCTCAGAGGAGGGAATGGATTAAGTGCCACTCTCTGGATGTAACATCTCCTTCTCCCTCTGCCTTCTCCCCTTCTCTTCCATCTTAGAAAGCCCTGGGCTTCCTCTCCGAGAACCGGAGCCTGCAAAGCAAGCTACAGGTGGCCGAGGCCTCACAGCGGCAGGCCCACAGCGCGGAGCAAGATTACGAAGGAGTGATTCATTTGCTGGAGGCAGAAATCGTGGAGCTGAAAACTCAGCTCCTGGGGAAGAAAGCCAGGCAGGCTTCGGAAACGGAGGTTAGTTAGGAAGGAGCGGGCCAGGTGGCCGAGAGAGGTAGATATGTCTAGTCGGGAGAAAAGGTGGCCTTAGAGTGGTCGTAAGACCAGATGGGCAGGGTATAAATAAAATGAATAAATAAATAAATACAGCCACCCTAAAAATCTGGAAGATGGAGCTCCAGCCACCCTAAAAATCTGGAAGATGGAGCCATCTTTCCCCTTCCTGCAGATCTAGAGAGTTGGACCCACAGTCACTGATTTTATTTGCAAGAAAGGTGATTGGACCCAAACATTAGGGGGGGAAATCCTGTTCGACATTGGAATGGAGTTCATCAGAGGGTGGATGTTTTTAAGCCCAAGTTTGATCAGTGGATGCTAACCTTGGGTCCCCAGGTGTTCTTGGACTAAAACTCCCAGAAGCCTTCACCTCAAGCTGTGCTGGCCAGGATTTCTGGGAGTTGTAGTCCAGGAACGTCCGAGGCTGGGAAGCACCGCCAAAGATGCAGTAGATCTAACCCGAGAGTCTTTTACCATTGGCCGTTCTTACTGGGGCACGAAGCCCAAGGGGGTGAAGCCCAAGACTACTCGAGAGTCAAAGGGTCCCCATTCCTGTATCATCAAGAGTAGGAAGACTTCATTGGAGACTTGGGGTGGTGGCGGATATTTTCCAGTCCCAAGACTTTCTGGAGCTGTCCTAGCTTCTCCAAACACGGTGGCTACTTATCCATCACTAGAAACACTGATCTCCTTGTCCTTTCTCCCGACACCCCTTTTTTGTTCCCTGCCTCTGAACCAGAAAGACGTCCTAGAGCTGAAAAGGCAGCTGTCCCAGACGGATGGGCAACTGAGAAAATCGGAAGTTGCACGGAAGCGCCTGGAAATCTTCAATAGGAAGCTCCTCCTGTTTGTGCAGGTGATGCGCAAAGGTGGGATCGGGTCTGTCCAGTGACCGAAATAAGGAGTTGGGTTTATCGTTCAGGATGGAAGCAGATTGCTATAAATGAATGCAATCAGAAACAATAGGATTGTTTTCCTATAGAGCCATAGGTCAAGTGTTTGATTCTATTTTAGGAGAAGGGCCAATCGGTGTGGCTTTCACTAAGTCGCATCATCCTAGAACACACCCAGAAACGAGGAATGGAAAACAACATCTATACCCAGAAAACCCTGAAAAGGTTTTGCCATAAGTTGGAACTGACCCGATGGGGCATAAATATTATTAATATTGTAATACTGAAATCTCTATCTTCTTCTCTTTTTGTTTTCCTCCAGAATGCCCATAAGCTTTTGAGTACATCCTCAGCATTACCAGAAGAGAAAAGGTGAGAAGGGATTTGAGAATCAGGCTTAGCGTTTTAATTGTCTTCCGTCATCCATCCATCCATCCATCCATCCATCCATCCATCCATCCATCCATCCATCCATCCATCCATCCATCCATCCATCCATCCCTTCCTTCCTTCCTTCCTTCCTTCCTTCCTTCCTTCCATCCTTCCTTCCTTCCATCCATCCATCCATCCATCCATCCATTCATCCCCCTTTATACTCAGCAACACCCCTGCGAGGTAGATTATTTGGCATGAGCATGGCTGGTCAAAGTCACACATTAAGTTTCACAGGATGGGAACCCCGAACCTTCCAATTCAGAGTCCAACATTCAAGAAACCAAACCGCCTTCACTCTCAGGACGCTCTGCGTAGCCACCTTTAATCATCTTTGCCACAAACTTATAATGTAGGCCAGTCCTCAGTTACATTGCAGACAGTGAGGACAGTGTTTCAAGCCAACATTTTAAGGCCATCTTGCCAGTTTGTGGCTCAGATGGGAACTTGGAATATCCCCCATGGAAACCCCAAAGAACATTTATTATCCTGTTTTTTTCCAGAGCTGAGAGCCGAGCCAAGGATGAGAACACAGAGGGGACCTCAGAAGTTTCTCTTCCACCCTCAGAACCTGAGTGCTTCTTGATAGCAGAAGCAAATGAACTATTAGAACAGATGTCCCTGTCGCACCCGACCAAGGATGGTAAGTTCCATTCCTGTCCCCTCCCTGAGAGAAAGGAGTCGAGGTCCTGGATGACCGGGGAGCTTATGTGATGGAAGCTGGTCTGTGACGCACCTGGCCCATAGCCCAGGTGGCTCTTTTGGGTTAAGAACTCTTTCCCAGGACTCAGATGGCACCAATTTGGGATTAAGCCTAGCTAGTGCTTTCCAGCTTTAGACAAACGTGCCTTGTCCAAGGTCCTGAATCTGGCTCTCTAACTATCCATTTACCTCTAACCCCCAAACTTCAACCTTGCATAAGTTACTGCCTACATTCCTAATTAGGATCTGGCAGCATCTTTATTTGCAAACTAACATTTGCAAGACTTTTCTCGGGGGAGTTGTGACAACCCCATCAAAAAAAAAAAAAGAGTTTTAAGTTATCATGCCAATCCGTTGACTCCCTTGCCCGCAAAATGTGGTTGACACACAAGATGGGGGAGGAAATGGTTTATTAATTATACAAATAGTGAGCTAAAGTACCTTCGAAGTTTGCAAACACAGAGCAAAGCAGAGCTGTTGTTGACTGGATAGTTTGGAGGTCAGTCTTTCATAGGGTTGGCCTGAGTTGGTGACAGTTGGACAGCAAAGAGCCTCGGTCTTTATTCGTGCCTTTGGACTAACACTGGAATTTGTGAATGTAGCCAACCTCAGCTATAAATAGTTCACACCATGTAGCTGAAGAAGTCAGTTATGAGCCACAAACCCTCACCTTGAAATATATTTGTTAGACTTTAAGGCACCATGTTTGGTTTTTTTGAATTTGCTTTTTTTTGTTTTATTAGCCCCCAAAGATGATTAAGTGCCCATACAAGGGGCTAGGAAACTCTGTCTTGATATTTGCAATACTGAATACTCAGACTAAAGTATTTCAGCCTAATAAGAAAGAAGTCCAGTTGCCATGACTCAACTTCTCCTTACTTTTCACTATCGGAGTCGGAGCAGCAAGAAGGGAAACAGTCCAGGAAGTAAAGGGGTGGGACTCACAGGTAAATGGGGGAGAAAGAGGTCACAACTAAGTGGGTGGGAGAAGTGGATGGGATTGAGTGTAAAATTTGGATGCAAATCTGAGCTGACGAATTTGGGGTGAAGGGAGCTTTCTTTCCCACTGCCTGCCAGTGAGTGAGGAAATCAGGAAGCTAGGTGACATATTTGATTTAGCGGATGTTTCAAGAAATCTTAGTATTTAATACCCGATGACTCTTGCTGGTAGCATTAGAGAGGAGCTGAACGGTGCCATTTTTGCTTGCCTCGACAGCTTTCCTGCGTGACGGTGACAACTGTCCGGCTGGTGATGGAACCCCGGAGTACAAAGAGTGAGTATTTCGAATCCCCTCAACTGGGATTCTCCCCCCTCCCCATTTGTCAGGCCACCAAATTCCTTTAATGCATCCCCCACTTCTCTTATTCCCGTGTTACCTCAGCTCTGTCTGCCATAGACAGACTGCCGTGAGGAGATTTTTGCAGCCAGGATCTCTGGAAATGTGTTCCCTCCGATCCTGGAGGTTGTGAAGAGCACAACACATCATGATTCGTTTGGGGGGTGGGCGAGATCTGTTTATTACATTTTTGCTGTCAGAGAGGTGTAGCGCTGCTCGCGTGATTTTGTCCCTCGAAGGCCAAAATATCTCACCTGGCTTGGGATATTAGACCCCCTGATGGTTTTGCTGCTCTCCCTCAGGCGGCTAGATGTCTTGGGCGGCCCCTGCCTCCTGGAAGTGTGTCAAGCATAGGAGAGCAGGATGGGCAAAACGTAGCATGCGAGGCAGTGTGGCAAAGTAGCTGGCGCAGGGTGAGCACAGAGGCACCCCAATGGGTGCTGCTGGACTACAATACCCATCCGCCCCAGCCAGTGGTGGAGAATGCTGGAACTTGTAGTCCTGCAATGCCTGGGTGGACTGCACTCCATCCATCCTCAGGTTTTACGGCTGGACGAGAACTCACAGGATCCTTGTTTTAGTTTCCCACGCGCACCAACTGGATTTTCTTGGGTTCGCGATTCACTCTCTCAGCCGGTTCCTACTTCGCAGGGTTGATGGGAGAAGAAAGAAGAAGGAGCCAGGTCTGAGGCCTGGCTTTCCCTGACAGAAAAAGAGGGATAAAAAAATTTAGCCGATCAATCAGTGTTTGAAAATGGAGCAGACAGGAATGTAATCCCATTGCACGTGTTTAGATTTGCAGCAGCCGAGAATGAAGGCTAAGGGTTAAGCAATGCCATACGATTTTTAATTATAAGGTAACGCATGTGCATGAATCTGCAGGAGATCATCCTTCCGCGCTGTGAATTATTGGCCCTAGGATCAGCCATTTCCCCCTCCCTCCCTTCATGTTCCCTAAGCTACCAAATGTTCTCCGAAAAGACACCGGAGTTTTATTATAGTGATTCGCTCTCTCGGCTGGTTCCTACTTCACAGGGTTGATGGGAAAAGAAAGCAGAAGGAGCCAGCCCTGAGGCCTGGCTTTCCCTGACAGAAAAGGAGGGATAAAAAAAATTTAGCCAATCAATCAGTGTTTGAAAATGGAGCAGACAGGAATGTAATCCCATTGCACGTGTTTAGATTTGCAGCAGCCGAGAATGAAGGCTAAGGGTTAAGCAATGCCATACGATTTTTAATTATAAGGTAACGCATGTGCATGAATCTGCAGGAGATCATCCTTCCGCGCTGTGAATTATTGGCCCTAGGATCGCGGTCTGTCTCTGTCCTCAGCCGCATGCCGTTTTTGCCTCTCGCCCCCTTTCCGGGATGGAGTGAGAGCCGGCCGTACCATTAGAGAGAACGAGGCAGCCAACTCAGCCAGCACCTCCCTGGTGTCCTGAAAAGACAGCAAACGGTCCATGGCTTTGTTGTGGCTGTATTTTGACTTGCCGGGATGAGTAGCGGGCCAGTGTATTTGTCGCATGGAGACAAACAGAACTACAATGGTGCCTCGCTAGACAATTACCCCGCATGACAGTTTTTTTTGCTAGACATTGACTTTTTGCAATTGCTATAGCGATTTGCAAAACAGTGATTCCTATGGGGGAATTTTGCTGGACAGTGTTTGGTCCCTGCTTCGCAAACCAATTTTCGCTAGATGACAATTTTGACTGCTCCCTCCGCACTCACAAAACGGGTATTTTCGGGACCTAAGCTTCACAAGACAGCAATTTAAACAGCTGATCGGCGGTTCGCAAAGTGGCTTTCCTATGGCCGATCTTCGCTAGACAACGACGATTCTTCCCCATTGGAACGCATTAAACAGGTTTCAATGCATTCCAATGGGGAAATGCTTTTCGCTAGACGATGATTTCGCTAAACAGCGATTTCAGTGGAACAGATTATCATCGTCTAGCGAGGCACCACTGTATTATAAAGGTTTATCTTTCTTCAGTTCCCATCCTGTTTGTGAAAATAAAAAAGGAACAAATAAATGAATGAATAAATAAAATAAGAGGACCCACCCCCAACCCCCAGGGTAAGTATACATGCAAACCCATGTCTTCCTACAAAACCCTGCCTCTCAATGGTATTCTGGACTCTTAGTCCAAGAATTCAGGATTGACACTGCTGATTGCAATTTTTTTTTCCAATTAGCTTTTTATTCTACCAGCAGATCATTTCATTTGGCCATCACACAATCCGTTTCTTGGCAACAACTTCCATGGGTTCTCAACGGAGAAGGGGTAAATAAAATATGCTGGAGATGAAAATTAAAATGTTGTTTTTGGAAACAGGTGGGGGAATGAAGTCAAAACACTGGGTATCCCGAAACTGGAAGTTGCATTGGTATATTTCCATGTTTATTTCACTTATGTTCCTGCGTTTCGGCTCCACGTCCCTTGAATGATGCCTGTTTTCTATTTCTAGCCACCTTTATCAGAAGACGACATGGCCCCCTCCTCCGAACCAGGGCAGTGGCAACAATACACAATTCCCAAACGCCTGCAGGGATCTTTCTGAGAAGCCAGCGTAAGTCCCAAGCGGCAGCACCCTCCTTTTCTGGACCTTGAACATTCGAAATCTGGACCGTTCTGCTTTGGAGAAGGGAGAGTATGAGAACTCCGCACACCGACACACATATTTATCTTTGGACTGATTTTTTTTTTCTCCACCCGTTCAAGCAACAAGCCACCTCTGCGTTGCTCCATGCAAAGCTGTTCTCCCTCATATTTCACCTTTAGATGGAAATAAATAAATAAATAAACATTTGAGGCAAGTGTTGCTACAAGATGCCTGAATTTCCCAGGCAGATGCCTGGAGAACTGGTTCTCCCAGTTGCAACAACCGACAGCTTAAAGGAAACCCAGAAGTCCTTTGCATTTCTTAAACAAAACCAAAGTACTGTATGTTTTTCAGGCTGTAGGTTTTTGTAGCTCATTCCTTGTTAGTAACAGCCTAGGGACGTGGTGGCGATGCGGGCTAAACCGCAGAAGCCTGCGCTGCAGGGTCAGAAGACCAAGCAGTTGTAAGATCGAATCCACGCGACGGAGTGAGCCCCCGTCGCTTGTCCCAGCTCTCGCCAACCTAGCGGTTCGAAAGCATGCAAATGCAAGTAGGTAAATAGGGACCACCTCGGTGGGAAGGTAACAGCGTTCCGTGTCTAAGTCGCACTGGCCATGTGACCACGGAAGATTGTCTTCGGACAAAAAAACGCTGGCTCTATGGCTTGGAAACGGGGATGAGCACCGGCCCCTAGAGTCGAACAGGACTGGACAAAAATTGTCAAGGGGAACCTTTACCTTTAACAGCCTAGTTGTCTTTCAGATGCATTGCATGTCGCTCTTGTGACTGCAAAAAAACTTTACAGGATATCAAGGATTATTTCAGTTCTACTACTTGAATCCGGAGAGGACTCTTCATGGCAGACATCCCTGGACACCAACCGACGTCAGCTATATGGGTCATCAAACGCTGCATTTTAAGGCTAAGGATGAATATCTGGACAGCTCTTCCTGATAACCATTTGCTTTTTTCAAAAAATTGAGGGGAAATAATATTAATTAAGCATTGGTCTTTATGTGATGAGCAAGTCATTTGGTAGAGATCGGTGGCCAGCCAATCGTTCTGATAAACAAAGTGAAGATAACAGCTCTCGAGTCTGTTGAATCACCCACCGAAGGTCCTTCTTATTGATTATGTAGATTTCTGTAGAAATGTAACCAACTTGGAAAAGGAATTTCAAACTGCTCCATAGACCAGAACTTTTGATTGTTACTGTCTTAAAACATGAAATCTGGCCAGAATGGGAAAATTCTGGGTTACGCTTGATCAACTCTACCCTGGCGATCATTTGTCTGCAAATTTTAGACAGATATTTCCGAAAGAAAGGGTGCAATAAAGAGATGACATCCTTGTATACACCACCCAAATCCCTGTTAGGTTTACACACCTCCAATTCCTCTAGTGGCAAGGTATGACAAACAGCATCTTTGTACACTATCTGCTTCCCGATAAGGATGGTGTACAAAAAGCTTCTGATGTTCCATAATCTTGCAAAACAATTTTACAGTGCATTTTATTTATTTATTTATTTATTAACCGCCCATCTAGAACGGGTCTACTCGTAGGACAGAGACTGAGCGTCCACCTATGACCCCACAATTAAAATATAATGAAAGCAAAAGGACTGTTTAAAAACGAGCATATTCTTCTATTTCTGTCTTTTGTTTATAACCTAAAATATTTGTACCCTCTCTTTCAAGTGACAGGGCCATGGGCCCATGGTTTCATACAGCTTGTACATATATTAAATGTTACCCTTTGGTTGTTGTATCAGGAGACGAGTGGTGCCTCCATGGGGATTTTTTCCAAGTGTGTCACTTACCTTTTTCCGTGTCAGCTCCTGTTTATTTATTTCAACAGCTTAACTAGATATCCCCTAGGCAAGACAAGAGGACGAAATAATCACTGAGGACAGAAAGCCTTCTTAAGGCAGTTCTTTGAACCACGCCACCTACAGGCTCTTCAAGTGGAACTGCAATTAGAACGATCCCCCCCCCTCTTCTGCCTGTGTGGCCACTTACATTTACTGTTTTAGTTGATTCTAAACCACCCAGAGTACTGCGTTGATACCAATGGGGCGTTATACAAATTTAATAAATAAATAAATTAATAAGAACTGAATGCGTTGGAGAAACTACCCAGTGAAAGAATGTGTTTTAATTTGCATTTCCCTCACTGTGTAGTCACAAGAACTGAATGCGTTGGAGAAACTACTCAGTGAAAGAATGTGTTTTAATTGGCATTTTCCTCACTGTGTAGTCACACCCTAAGCCACTATAAAATTATGAAAGGGTTAATGTTACCTAGGGGGGGTATACGTCCCAATTTGTCCTCCTCTCTGCTAGAGTGGAGGCAGGCAGTACTTACAGGAGCTAAAAAGCAACATTTTCATTGCACAACAAGCTCATTACTTTCATTCCATGGCTGCTCTCAGCAAAAAGGTTTCACAGGTTTTCTACATAGTGCTTCAAAACCTACGAAACCTTTTTTCCATATAGATAATGATGGGGCAAAGAGAAGTGAGTGGCTGCTGTCTGACAAGAGAGTAAGCCAGGATTCCAAGGAAAACTTGGCTTTCCATGTACACAGGGCATGTTGAGGGTTGCTGTGCCATGCACATCTGGATGCAGTTGGTTTCTTTCTGTCCCAAGCATGGACAGTAGTGCTTCAAAACCTACGAAACCTTTTTTCCATATAGATAATGATGGGGCAAAGAGAAGTGAGTGGCTGCTGTCTGACAAGAGAGTAAGCCAGGATTCCAAGGAAAACTTGGCTTTCCATGTACACAGGGCATGTTGAGGGTTGCTGTGCCATGCACATCTGGATGCAGTTGGTTTCTTTCTGTCCCAAGCATGGACAGAGGTTCTCATAAAGCAGCCATGGTTAGTTTGCTGTGCCATGCACATCTGGATGCAGCTGGTTTCTTTCTGTCCCAAGCATGGACAGAGGTTCTCATTTGCATGAGGTCTGTTTGCAGAGTCGTCCATTTTGGGGGGAGAGGAGCAAGCCAAACCAATTTATGTACAGTGGTGCCTTGCTTAACGGGCGCTCTGTTTAGCGACGAAACTGTATAGCGACGAAGATTTTGCGATTGCAAAAGCGATCGCATTGTGATGTTTTAAATGGGGTTTTTTCGCTTTGTGATGATCGATTTCCTGTTTCGCTTACTGATTATCACAAAACGATGATTTTTTTAAAAGCTTATTTGCGGTTCCAAAATGGCCGCCGGGTAAAAAAAATGGCCACCCGCTGTGTTTAGGGACGGATTCCTCACTTAAGAGGCAGCGAAAATCGCCGCCGTATGGAGGATCTTCACTTTAAGGTCAGTTTTTTGTCCATAGGAACGCATTAAACAGGTTTTTTAAAATTAAACAGGCTTTTTAAAATCGCATAGCAACGAAATTGCTTAGCAGCGATTTTTGCTGCACGGATTAACGTCGCTATGCGAGGCACCACTGTACCTAGATTTGTATGCTATGCCAAGCTAGCCATACAGATACCATTGCAGAGAAAACCACTGACACGCACGATGCTGCTTTTTATAACCAAACAAAACTGGTGAAAAACAGGTTCTTCTGAAACAGTAAAAGCCCACACGTCAACCATGGAAAGCCGAGCGTGGAACGGCGTGTTCTCAAAGACGAACTGGCTGACAGACCGACTAAACAGGAACGTGCTGTATTTTGTTTCCGCTCCTGGGTGACTTGGAATTGTAGGAAACAGGCTGCATGTTCACATTCAAACCGCCTGATGGAAAAGCAAGCAAGCAAAGCAAAGCAAAACCTCAGCTCCCTCCATGCTGGAAAAAAACAGGTCACGGAGAAGAACTTTGTGTATTTTTTTGCCTTTGAAGGCATGTTCGAAGCTTCCGTTAGTTCAGAATACAGCTGTGCTAGGGTTTCATCTGGCACAACTTGTTCATATGCTGTCTCCCTGGTTTTAAGGAAGCTGTCCCCTTCTGGGGCCAACTCAAATTGCTGACGATTAAGGGCCACCTATAACATGTATATATAAGTTATATGTATGCACACATACGTAATTTATGCACACAAAACACATATCACTATATACACAGAGAGAGACTTATTTATTTGAAATATTTTAACCCACCTTTCTCCTTTAAAAGGAACCCAAGGTGGCTGACATCACAAAAAAGACCATCTAAAAGCTCACAGCAGCGAGTACACAAAAAGATCAAACAAGCACCATAGAAAAGAGAGAGGAATTGCTGGCTGGTGGTTGGGGGTTCGATTCCCCTAGGGTGCCTTCTGCGAGGAGTTCCATGCCTGGGTAGCCCTGGGCAAGCTGTGCAGTCCCAGGGCGCCCCCTAGCGGAAGGGATTGGTAAGACGCAGCCCCCCCTCTGCTTGGAAAACCTTGAAAAGGGCTGCCTTAAGTCAGAACTGATGCGTGTGCGCTCATAAATGATACATACTATACTATTGATGGCACACAATTATTCTATATCAAAATGCATGATGATGATGATGATGATGTGCCTATGTAAGACCAAATAAGGCATATCACTTAAAACACCTACATTTTATGGGGAGTATTTCTGCTAAATAGAAGGCGCTCGCGCGCGTGTGTGTGTGTGTGTGTGTGTACTTAAAACACCTACATTTTATGGGGAACATTTCTGCTAAATAGAAGGCCATGTCTCTCTCACACACACACACATTTTTCTCCCTCTGCCTGGCCGACCACCTGCTTGCAAAAAGGGGGCGGGCCTCCCATCCTCCAGGGGGGCGTGGCCCCGGCCGCGCAGTGGGCGTGGCTCTCGGGCCCAGGCGCAGGGAGTGGGCAGAAGACCTC